AACACAAGAGTATCCTCCTGATCGCCCCATCATCTTTGACTTCTCTCTCCCCCAGAACATTCAAATGCTAATTAAAAATAAACTGTGAAATCATTTTGAAGTGTAACCTCTCCTCTCTGTTTCCATGGTTTTAATACAGATCTCATTACCTCTGAACTAGACTATTGAGGAATGCTCTCGCAGGACCGCCCCCATCCCAATCCTCTCTATGTAGCTGGTCCCCTTCTGCGGTCCCTGGTGAACACCTCTCTGGCTTTCTCCCGCCTGCAGGGTAAAGTCCAAGCTCCAAGCAAGGCCCTTTTTAACTCTGTACAGACCTATCTTTCCAATCTTATCTCCCACTTCTCCACCCAACCACCCTGTACAAAAGTTATGGCGAACAACGGGCAGTTCCCTTAGCACCACAGATCAGCATCTTTGTGGACACTTACTATATGCAAAGCTCAGTGCTGAGCTCTCTACCTGCATCACCTCATTTTATCTTCACAACAACCCCATGTGATAGACAGGTACTCTAGCTACTCCCAGTTTACAGGGGAGGAAAATAAGGCTTAGGTAACTCTTCTGGCTGACTCCCAATGTCGACAGCACCTCCTCCCTCCCCCATGCTCTCCAGTTGGCCTGGAAGACCCTGCCGCTCCTCCTCAACTGCTGCCCCCTGCATCCCCCATCCTGATCTTCTTCAAGACCCCACACACTTCTCTTTCCCCAATTATGCAACTCTTTACCCAGGGTTAATAATTCGGTCTTTGGTGCTTTCACGGTACTTTGTACATTCCTCAACAGAAACACTCACCACACTACATAATTATTTGTATACATTCCAATCTACCAATTAGAATGTGAATCTATAAGAACAAGAATAGCCTTTTTTCTTCAACTCTTTCTCTTCCTTATATCTGGCATATATATCAGGTAGGTAAATACTGGATGACAAGGTACGTTAGTCTTTACAATGTGTTGTTTAATTCACTCCTCTTCCTTCCTTATATATTCTATTTCCATCCCCACATTTCAGAGCCTTATTAACTCTAAGCTCTCTCTGGCAATAAATTTCTTATAGCTTTCCCGCGGTCACCTTTCTTTCCAATTCTCTTCTATACCAATGGTGGATTAACTTCCCCAAAACGCAGTTCTGTGCTTGGCTCTTCGCTTTTCAAAAATAACCTTGATTCCATGGTGCTTACCAAGTAACGTATAGATAGAGATTCTTTACTCTAAATTCAAGAGTGTGCATGATCTGTGCTTAATGATTTCATCTCAACTTGGATCATTCCCCTACAACAAACCAAATTATGTTACTTCCTATTCTCTCAAATCACATAAAATCTCTGCATATGTGACCACTGAAACTATATGTAGACATCTCGCCTTCTTCAAATCAGATTCCTTCCTTGATTTGATACATGGGTAAAAACTACAGCTCTCCTGAAATCCCACAGCATATGGTTTTACCTCTCTTGTGAGATTTAATCTATTCTGCACAGTTCTAGTAAGATTTAGACACATCTTAGCTCATTTACAATGTCCTTGACATCCTTATAGAGCTACATCTAATTTGAGTGTCTTATACCTGGTAGGTGCTCAACAAATTTGCTTTGGTGCAATACTGAATGAACATATAAATTTTAGGTCATGCTAGAACCTAACTCTCATGCTTTAAAAAAAAAATTAATGTGACGTCAAACTAACTGTTTGAAGATCTTCACAGTCCTAAGACTATAACGCAGTCAAAAAACACTTTTGGAAAAATGTGATCTTAATTCACCCGTTTCAAAAAGTCAGGTCAATCTAGGATGGAAAAATCATCTAAGTGGATAGTAATCATCGCACACTGAGAGCCAGTGTTAAGCACTTTAACAGGAATAAATTTAACAGGCATAAATCCCCTGGTTCCTACAACAAATATCCAAGGCAAGATGAAGCTATCCCACATTCTGCCCTTGAGAAGACTGGGGCCAGGAGAAGCTCAGCACTTCACTCAATGGAGGGCATCTTTAGAATGGCAGAGCCAGGATTCCAACCAAACTAAAAAAATAATAATAATAAAATAAAATAAAAATCTACTGAAAGACTAAAGCTCCCTCTCAAGGAGTTACAATGGATTTTCATCATTTAAAAGAGTTCCAGGGCACCTGGGTGTCTCAGTTAAGTGTCCCGGCTCTGGATTTCAGCTCAGGTCATGATCTCAGGGTCATGGGATTGAGCCCCAAGTGGGGCTCCGGGCTCAGCTCGGAGTCTGAGATTCTCTCTCCCTCCCTCTGCTCCTCCACCAACTGGTATGTGAGTGTGCACACCCTCCTGCTCTTGCTCTCTAAAAAAATAAATACAATCTTTAAAACTAAATAAATAGGGGCGCCTGGGTGACTCAGTCAGTTAAGCGTCTGTCAGGGTCCTGGGATGGAGCCCCATGTCAGGCTCCCTGCTCAGCGGGGAGCCTGCTTCTCCCTCTCCCTCTGCAGCTCCCCCTGCTTGTGCTCTCTCTCTGTCAGATAAATAAATAAAATCTTCAAAAATAAAAATAAATAAATAAAAGAGCTTCATCTACAGCACATTTCAACATTACCACAAATTTCTGAATCTATACTGCACGACTAAGGACGGGGTCCCTTTCCTAGTGACCTAATTCAGCCAATGGAGCTATTCTGTGACTTGGTAGGAAAACCAGCAAGAACACTCTAAATTCGTGTGCCTATACCTTTATCAGGGGACAGGGGGCACTGTCCCCAGTATAAATACTCAATTGCATTTTTAAACTAAAACAATTTTAGAGTCCTTCAACTGATCATTACGCTTACAAAAAAACTTACCACTAGGTGGCAAAAGTATAAAGTTAAGGAGATGATATTTCTACAGTGCTTCATAAAGGAGGAGTAGGGAAATATTTTCCCACCCTTTTTCCACAGTAATACAAAATCCTGTTAAACTGTTAATAGTTTTTCAAAGATTATATTGTCACTTTGAGAGTGTCATGTTATAAATAAATGGTTCTAAATTTAAAAATTATTCCTCCTTATTGAATACTGCATTATAATATTTTAAATATCATAATATATATAGATTTCAACTTTTTTTATACTCAACAATAATCATAACTTCAACTAGCTTTAAACATAGAAGTAGAACCATACTATCAATGAATTAAGTACAGAATAACACACTGTACACTAAAATATATTGAGACTGAAATTTAATTTTGTGTAATGCTATATGATAGACAAAAACTGCTTTATAAATCATAAAGGTTGGAGTTCTTGCATTTTGTAAGGTGTTTTTCTGTTTATTTGTTTTGTTATGCTTGTATTTTGTTTCTAAATGTCAAAATAAAAGAGAAGGTTTCAGGGTATATTTTACTATATATATATATATATGACAAATATCATATATATATTTTACTTCTCTGCAAGTAGCACTGAAGATGACCCATATGTAAAATGCAAGTTGGGCAAAATCATCATCATATTTTTCTTCACAACATTTACTTTAAAAGCACAAGAGGAAGCCTGATATGCCTGATAAGAATTTTGAGGAAATAAATGCAACTTCAAAATGTGATAAACATCTTGAGGCAAGTTTGTCGAAGTATCTGTACACACGTGTGCACTCCTGATGACTTGTGCCCTGCTTTCTATCTTTGGTGATCCCTTGTGGGTAGAAATTAAATTATATATGATTAAATTATATTTAACTACATATAATTAAATTACACTTGGCAAATATATGGGTAAAGCTATATAATGATCAAAATAATTCTGAAAAGTTAGAAACTATCTCTTGCATATGTTTACTTAATATGCACTCAGGAAAAAAATATTTTAATGATGATTTTTTACTAATTTTATTAAGCAGAAAATAAAATCTCCATGTTTCATATAAAGAACCTCTAGACCTATGCAAATCTTTTATTTTGGGGCAGGGGTTTGGGGGTGGGGGCGGAGGTGGTTCTAAACCATCAGTGGGGCAGGTTGGGTGTTTGGTAGAAGGAATTATGCTTCATCTTATCATCCACAGGCTATCCTGGCTTCCAAGTTTGCAAAAGCTGTTGTGTATTCATCTACAGGCATTAGAACAAAACCGAAGTCCTCTCCAGGGATCACTGGGAAGGAACAGCTGCTAGGGGATTATTTTCTATGGCAAGCACCAATTTATACCTGTAAAACAGTCTAGAAATGTACGTGAAGAATAATTTGCAATATATACACATGAATGCATTTCCTCGCTTTCAGCTCTGTAATGTACTGAATGCATTTAGAAATAAGTGAAAATTATACAGTAAGGTAAAGTTTTCTGGATGCTTGACAGGATATGAAAAGAACATTGCTCCTGTAGACTTGACAGTTATTAGTTGATCTGATTCATGAGATGCTTATGTTCTACTCTAAAAATAAGTGCAATAACAGTCATAAAAATTTCTTTGAACCATCATCACTCAGGGGTTGACAGGTATTAAACTGCAGGTTTCTAATTCATTCCTAGAAAATAAAAGATTTAGAACATATAACGGTGTCTTAACACAAAGAATCTCATTTATATGTAGTCTGTTGGAAAGGACACAGCAACAATTTAAAATATAAAGAAAACTATGGGTAATAAAAAAATGTTTCAAAAAACAAAATTTTGAGAGCCCCTATTAAATAGCTGCATAGAGTGGAAGAGAGGTCTCTATCAACATTTTCCCCCCAGAATCTAGCATGTGGTTGGTCCTCAATAAATATTTTGAATGAATGGTGGGGCAAGTGTCATCTCGAGGAATTTGGTAGAGTAGCAGTTCATTTCAAAAGAGATAAAGATAACAGCAACTTGACAGCAATAATCGTGATGGCAGTCCAATCAGCACAGGGCCGCCTGCCTCTCTGGCAGGTGAAGCAAAGAGGGTAAATGCCAGGGGAAACACCCCAGCGTACCGGCAACCTCCAGGAGAGACGAAAGGTTAGTGCTGGGACAGGCACCCCTTCCGCAGCAGGTTACCTACCAGAGGTCCCTGCTCTGCCGTTACTTACCTCCTCCCTCCTTTCCTCTGGACCCGACGCCAGGTGGGGGCTCAGCTGAGGGTGGCTGCTAGCGCGGTCCTCACTGCCTTTGTCACACGCGGCTTGCACAGAATCCTGGGAGGTCACAGGCCCCTCTGCCCTTTCTTCACTGTCCACTGAACTGAGGGACGGCGCACTGAGGCTGCTGGGACACGTGGCATTTCCCGCCCCTGGGCTCTGAGGGCTGGGGGGCTTGGGTGTGGTAGGCCTTGCGGGGGTGAGCGGCTGCTCGGGTTCGAAAATAAACTGGCTGCCAGCTTGGCGTTCATCGGAGTCCTGGGCAACTGGACTCGATGAGGCGCTGCCAGCGCAAGGACGGGCACTTCCGGCCGCCCCGCAGCCTGTGGCTTCCAGAGGAAAGACGGCCGTGTCCACATCCACCTGGGGGCTCGGAGCCCCAGCCGGGCCGCACTCCGAGCCGGCGTGCGCGCCTGCGCACCTCCTCCACTCGCGCTCAGCGCTGGTGGACACACGGCGGGAGTAGGCGTCGTGCAGCCGGCTGTGCACCTGCAGCCTCTGGCTCGCCTCGCCGGGCGAGGGCGCCCCGCTCCTGGGGCTCTCTCTCCTCCAGGCCGCGTCGGTGGCGCTACTCACAAACCTCAGGACTCTGTCAAAGTCCTTGGCCCGCAGTGGGCTCTTCCAGCGTTTCGTCCTCCTCTCCGACCCACCGAACTTTTCCGAGTCGGCAGATGAACTGCTTAGCGTCCGTCGGGGCGCTGGCTTTTCAGGCGCCCCCTTGAGGTCCGTGAGATTTGAGGTGGACTTCCGTTTGAAGGAGCTCTTCTTCAGAAAGTTCAAGTTATCCGTGCTCTTGCTTTTCCTGTAGATGATGCTGTTGTTCTCGGAGTCCTTCACTAGGATCTCACACACGGTGGGCTCCTGGGTGACAGAGGCCAGCGGCCGGACGTGGTTCTGGGACCCTTGATGCTTCTCGCAATCCAGGAGGCTGATGCGGCCCAGGCCATAGGCGCGACGGATGCTGCGGGACCGATGGGTGCTCCTCTGGAAGGTGTCGTCGGCCTCCTCGGGGTCGGAGCAGTCCGACGTGCCCCCTGGCCCTGCCTTCGGGGCGTCACTTGCTGGTCCCGAAGAGGGGCACTTGCTGGTTTGCATTCCGACTGCAGCACCATTTGGGATGGGTTTCCCTGGATCACGTTCCGGGGGGTCTTCCTTTGCCGCATCTGACCCCTCTCGGTTCTGAATTCCTTGAAGGACGGAGGATTTCAGTTTTTTGAAAGATCCCATTTTCCGAAAGGAGGCAAGGGCATTCCAGGTGGAGGAATTTCCCATCAGGACCATGGAGCGGGGCCTCTCTGGGTTGGTGCTGGTCCTCTTCCTACTCACGGAGAAGAGGCGCATGAGCTTGGCAGGGCTGAGTCTGGCCTCCTGGGCTTCCGCCTCCCCGCAGTAGCTGCTGCTGCAGCCTCCATTCTGACACGCTGGGTAAGTCACCATTTTGGGGTCTTTGGGATCAGAGACAGAACATGGGATAGCGGCAAGTCGCCCATGGCCGTTCTGGGCTGTTGTCATGTTCTCGGGGCTGGGAGCCCGTGGCCACAGGGCAGCGGGGTTCAAACCCACATGCACATCTGTGTCCACAGGCCCCAGATGCTCATCTTCATCTCCGAGGCTGCTGCCAGCCTGGCTTTCACACCTACGGTGCACATCAGGCTTCTCGGTTGTGGCCACTGCCTACAACAGAAAACAAAGCAGGGATTTAGTTATTTCCCCCCACAGAAGAACCTCTATGAACAGTGGCTTGTTATTTTGTTTAAGAATTCTGAATACAAAAGAAGCATGCCTCGTGACAGGGCTAATCAGTTCAGAACAATTTTAAATTAAAAATTTACCTTTCCTAATTCATTTCACAATGAATTAAAGGTAAGAATGCAAATACACATTCCTTAAAAAAAAAAAAAAGATAATTATGGGTTGTGCATTCAATGTAAATTCTCAAATCCAGTGAAAGTTAAGTAAAACTTTTGAAAAATTGCTGGAATGCAAAGGCCCAGGCATCATTCAACACTGGGTCTTCTCTTTATTTGAAATAGAAGAAATTTTTAATTATCAAATTAAAAAAGACAGCAACAACTACTTCAAAATGTGTCATAGTGAAATAGCAAACTATATTAAATTTAACACAGCTAATACGCAGATTGAGTGCTTAGTATATGCAAGCACGAGTACAAGGAGCTGCAGTAGAGACCAAGATGCTCTCCGCTGCCTACTGTCTACAAAATACCCAAAACTCTGAGAGACAAAGTGCTACAGGGACACATGAGTGGAAGGGACAAACAAGTTGTATGAGGTCTGGCTTTGTGAACGAAACTGCATTAGTGAGGGGCCTCTGTCAACAGGATTCTTACTGGCTGGGGAATGGAGAGAGATCAGGATAATACTTAAATCGTAGAAATTCAGACACAAAAACTCAAATTACACAAATGTTGCACCTTCTTCTTTCCTCCCCCATGCCTGGAAGCCCACCACACACCTGCGGTCCATGCTGTCTCCCCCCAGTGAAGATGTTGCTCTCCTTACCCTTTGCCCTTCAGGCCAAGACCTGCTCAGCCTGGGAGGGCCAGCTTAAATGTCAGTCACCCTGTTCTCAACGAATGATTAGTCAATGAAGGAAGACAGGAAGGAGGGTGATAGTAACTCATAAAGGACTACCACTCACTAAGTGTTTATTACTACATGTCAGGCCCCTGTGCTAAGTGTTTTAAAAATGACATGCCACTGAGTACTCATACAAACCTGCAAGATCAATAATTTTCATTTTACAGATAATCAAATGGACACTTGGGCAGGGGGTGCTGGGGGTTCCTGCAGCTCTCCCTTCCAAAGCTTATGCTCCTCTCCACTATTTCAAACTAATGAACAAAGAAGAGAGGCAGAGCTGGGATATGAACCCCAGGGGTGTGACACCAAGTTCAGTGCCTTATTATATGACCCCAATTCAAGTCAAATCCCAAATATCCTTATGCCAGTCAAGACCACTATTCCAAAGGCAATATTAAAAGCAGAAGAGGAAAAGGAGAAAAGTGTATAAAAACATTAAGGTTAGGTCCCAATTTAGCTTAGTCCTCTCAAGTGCAGAAGAAAATGGGACCTCATGCAAAGAGGTCTTACCTGATTCTATTCTCCAAATTCTCTGATGGGTTCATTTTTATTTGCCTCTACATCGTGCCCCTTAAGGAATTCCCAGGGAGTCACAGTCAAAGGGCTGATTCCATCTGGGACCAGGGAAGCTGCATAGAGTTAGACCCCTGGTGCCTTTCTGATGTCCATTTACCCAATTCCATTACTCAGAAGCCTAATGGGGCTACCACATGCCATCTGCAGTTTAATGTTCTCATGGAGAAATTAGGGAGCCTTAAGAGCTGTGGGTTGCATTTAAATGAGCCATAGAAGCAGAAACTTGAATCATCCCGGCACTGAGGCGGGAAGTAAATCTATAACCAGTGCAAAATGAGTCTAACACTGAGTACCACCTATCCACGGTCAGCTACTCTGGGAAGGACAGGGGATTGTAGTTGTTTCAACTTCTCACAATCTTGGAATGAAGCAGTTTATGCAAACATCAAGTCCAGTCACAGGCACTGACTGATGGCATATTACATAATTGTAATGGCCTTGTTATGACTTGCACTGGATGTAGAGGAGCAGACACGACCTTCTCTAGTCATACGGCTGGATGGAGACAACTTACAGACACCGCAACTAGAGGGCGCTATGAGACCTTTTATAACCAAGGATGACAGTGTGTCAGGCGGCCCCTGAGGTCTCAAGGGGTGCTGGCAGTGCTCAATTTTAATGTTGGGTAGTTTGAGAACAGTAATCTGTGCTCCAGTGCCATCTATAAAAGAATAGGTGCCAACATTTATGTATATGGTATATCAACCAACCAATTAAATCATGAGCCTCTGTTAGGTACAAGAATCTGTGTAGGCCCCATGATAAATTCAAGAGAGTGACAAGGTGATAAACTGTTCTAGATGGGAACTTGGCATGAGCAAAGGAAGATCCAGGAACCTAAATTTGATTGGGAGGCAGTAAACTTGGGTGACCAACTGTCCCAGTTGGCCCGGAGGTGAGATATTTTACAGGACATGGGACTCTCAGAACTGAAACCAGAGAAGTTCTTGGCAGACTGGGATGACTGATCACCTACATTAAGTAGAACAGTATAGTTGGAAGGATGGCACAGTGTCATGTGGTAGTAGAAATTAAGATGAAAACGGGTTTAGAAAAAGAGCACATTCCTTTAGTCTACACTTTAAAACTGTCCACAGGTGTCATCCTCTTTGGGAATCCCTTCCTGATCCTAAAAGTAATTAAGATCCCTTACTCTGTGGATTACAGGCATCTCACCAAATTGCTTTACCAAGACATATTTATAATGATAGGTTTATATGGCTGCCCTCAGAACAAGGCTGTGAACTCTTTGAGAGTAAGAACGGTGTGCAACACTTACATTACTTATCTTGATGTAAAACTGTATCAGTTATCCTGCCTTGTCAAGTCTGTACCAACATAACAATTCATCAACAATACCACCATATTTGTCCAATGTGAAGATGTTTAAATTTTTACAACACTAAAAAGTCTAAGTATTTATTAAAACTTAAGTTTTAAGATACAGATCTAGTAAAATACATACAGATCTGATTTCTGATTGGGGCAACATGCTTTTTTAAAAGTCCAGTGACTTAATATTTGGTTCATGCAGCTGAACGACGTGATTGTTGTGTGCTGCTTGGAATGAAACTGAAAATCACGGAAAAAGGCTTTTCCTGGAATTTCCGAGAAACATACCAAGTAGCATTATTTAGAACTAATACTTTGACCTCTATTAACTAACAAGGGTTGCGATTCAATCAGTGGTTTTGTAGCAAGTCTTGTAAATTGTGGGAGCTCTGCCAGAGAGATTTATGAACAGAACTACAAGGAAGAATTTTAGATGGGAATATTGTGAAATCCATTGTCTACAAGCTAGATTCTGGGATATATGAACTTTAGACTAGAACATTTTTTTTCACTCATAATGAGAATTCTTTGAAAACAACTATGACCAGTAATTTTTAAATAAGAATTTATAATACTTGAATTTGAAATTCAGAAATATGTATCAGGTTAAATGTACACACAAGGGGGTTTTTGTAATCTGTTCATGTAAATTACAGAAAATGTGACATTGGAGAAAAATATATTGGAATATATTGCAAAATCTATTGAAACCTGAAAGTATAAATCTTTGAATCACAGCGCTGTAGAATACTGCCTTTGGGAACATCGAACCCGTTTGTAAAGATTAGGGCACTAGAACCCAGTGGGTGTGAGAGACATGCTCATTGTCAAGCCACCACCACAGGTGAAAGCACAGTGAGGCTGGGAATCAGAGGCACCAGCTTTGGGCCCCAGCACTGCCACATACTGGCCAAAACCTGCTGGTCATCCTAGACCTCTTCCTTTCCTTCCAGATCTCATTGGTCACCAAGTCGAAGAGATTCTCCTTCAGGTCGTAACAATCCGTGCTCAGTGTGGCTGCCACAGCCTTATTTCCAGTCTTTAGTGCCTTCCACCTGGACACCTGCATTAGCCTCCTGAAAAATATCCTGTCACCTCCAAGCCAGCCAGTTCCTTCCCAGAAATTGCCAGTGGAGTCGTGCCACTTCATCTAGTGTCACTGGCTGCCGCCTCTGAACCTCGAGGTATCAGATCTCAGCCGAGCACACAATACCTCTCACTCTGGCCGTGCAGAATTATTCACAGAGGCTTTCTCATACTGCTATGCTTTGGGTTATTTCCTTGTTTGCTCTCAGAGACTTCCTCCAGCAATTTTTGTCTCTCTGTATTGTAGAGAAACACGTTCCCAGGCTCCTCTGACAAATGGCTTCTGGCCAAGTTGGTCAGTGGGAAGTACTGGTGGGAGAGGATGCATGTGGGAGAAGGTAGACTCCAGGGTATTTCTCTCTGTGTGTGCTACTGCAGGGGTGTCTTCCCTATCCCTCCAGCCTATGGTGGGAGCATCTTCCCACTATTATTGTTCATCTGAGTTCCTCACTCTCTCCTCTTCTGTTTCGCGGCTGTGTAAACACAATCCCTATTTTAGATTCTCTTTGTTTGAAATACCTAGAGATGTTTCTCTTTTCCTGACTGATAATTATGTGCTTTGCCTAACTAACTTTCATTAATTCACATCAGCTTTTCCCCAAGAGGAACCCTTTGTTTCCTATCCAATTCAGATGCCCTTTCTCTGTGGGCTGTCTTACACATCGCTCCATTTTAGCATTTACCATACTGCTCTGTAATGCTGGTTTCATGGTCTCCTTTCTCTGCTAAACTCTAAAAAGGTTGAAAAGTTCTTTTAAGTCCCAAACCAGGTCTTATTTAACTCCGTATTCTTAGCATTCAGTCAGTTACTGAATGAACGAAGACCACTTCTTTTGCATAGTGCGTCAACAAAACATGTGGGGCCGGATCATTCTTAGCCATGAGGGCTGTCCTATGCATTGTAGAAAGCCAGCAGCATTCCCAGCCACTGCCTTCAAATGATGCTA